TACTAGAAGGGGATATTGGTCGATCCGGTGATGAGTTGGGAGGTGCCGAGGTCACCTACCGAGATCAGGAGTTTCCTTGGGTTGGCTGGTTATTATCGGAGATTTATCAGGGATTTCTATAAGATCGTCGTGTCACTCACTAAGTTGACCCGGAAGGGTGTTGCTTTTTCATGGGGTCCGGAGCAGCAGACCTCATATCAGACACTTCGCCAGAGATTGTGCGAAGCTCCGGTACTCGCACTCCCGGAAGGGATGGAGGATTTTGTGGTGTACTGTGATGCATCGATATCAGGGTTGGGAGCGGTGCTTATGCAGAGGGGGCATCTGATAGCATATGCATTGAGGCAACTGAAACCTCATGAGTCGAGGTACCCCACCCACGATCTGGAATTGGGGGCAGTGGTGTTCACCCTTAAGATCTGGCATCACTATCTATACAGGGTTTGGTGTACTTTATACACGAACCACAAGAGTTTGAAGTACTTGATGGATCAATCCAACCTGAATATGCGCTAGAGGAGATGGCTGGATGTGGTGAAGGATTACGACTGCGAGATCTTGTACCACTTAGGTAAGGCTAATGTTGTAGTCGATGCCTTGAGCCGTAGGGCGGAGGGCGCCCCGATATGAGATGTTTGCATGAGATTGACAGTGATGACTCCGGTGTGGGACACCAATCGAGGGGCCTAGGCGGAGGCCGTGAGACCAGAGAACCGCAAAAGGAAGCGACTGATCGGGCAGGTATCAGAGTTCGTTACCGATACTCGAAGACTTATGACCATTTAGGGTCGGGTTTGGGTACCGTTTGTGGGCGGAACGTGTGCCGTCTTGATGGAGGAGGTGCATAGATCGAAGTTCTCGATCCACCCCGGGGCCACTAAGATGTATTTGGACCTGAAGAAGGAGTATTGGTGGCCTTGTATGAAGAGGGATGTTGCATGGTTCGTAGAGAGGTGCTTGACCTGTCGCAAGGTTAAGGCCGAGCACCAGCGTCTGCATGGTAAGTTGCAGCCGTTAGGGAGGTGGAAGTGGGAACAGATCACCATGGACTTTATCACCAAATTATCGAGGACTGCCAGGGGTGTCGATGCAATTTGGGTGATCGTGGACAGGTTGACGAAGAGCGCTCACTTCCTTGCCATCAGTGAGAGATCTTCCGCGGAGAGGATGGCAGAGTTGTACGTTAGGGAGGTGGTATCGTGGCATGGAGTACCGATAACGATCGTCTCAGATCGAGATGTGCGTTTCACTTCTAGATTCTGGAAGCAATTTCATGAGGAATTGGGTACGAGGCTGCATTTTAGTACCGCATACCACCCAAGAATGACGGACAGAGCGAGCGGACGATTGACGCTCGAGGACATGCTTCGGGCATGTGTACTGGATTCCGGTGGGAGTTGGGACACATATTTTCCCTTGACTGAGTTTTCACAACAGCCATCATTCGAGCATTGGTATGCCACCCTTTGAGTTGTTGTATGGAAGGAGGTGTCGGACTCCCATTTACTGGGGTGAGGTAGGGAAACGTGTGATGGGTAGTACAGAGATAGTGCTTCAGAAGACATAGCAGATACAACGGGTCAGACAGAGGTTATTGACCGCTCAGAGTCACCAGAAGAGTTACGCAGATAGGCGTTGGTCGGAGCTCGAGTTTCAGGTCGGGGATTTTGTGCTCCTGAAGGTATCTCCTTGGAAAGGAGTGATCTGTTTTAGGAAGAGGGCCAAGTTGGGGGCCCCGGTATATTGGGTCGTTTAGGGTGATCGCGAGGGTGGGCAGAGTAGCATATCGTTTGGAGTTACATGTGGACTCAGGTCAAATTCATGACACCTTCCACGTATTGCAGTTGAGGAAGTGTGTGGCCGATGAGTCGGCGGTGGTATCGATAGAGGATATCTAGGTGGATGCGAGTCTGAACTACGTTGAGAGACCGGTTGCGATTATGGATCGGAACGTCAAGGTTTTAAGGAACAAGGAAGTGCCCCTGGTGCAAGTCCAGTGGCAACATCGGAGGGGGTCCGAGTTGACTTAGGAACCGGAGCGAGAGATGCGTGATAAGCATCCATAGTTGTTTGCGGAATGAGACTTCGAGGACGAAGTCTGATTCTAGTGGGGGAGAATTGTAACATCCGGACTCCCAGGTATCTTATTTTATGCTTTAATATTGAGTTTTTGGAGAGAGACTTGGCGAGTAGGCGCTCAGACTCGCCGAGTAGGAACGCGGATTGTCAGACTGATTTAATGGTGGACTTGGCGAGTCCATTCGTGGACTCGGTGAGTCCATGCTGTTTAATGAAACCCTAATCCTCGGGGTTTGAGACCTATTTGAAGGGGCTTATAGCCACCATTTGCGGCTACCAGACCCTTGAGAGAAACCCATATTGTGCTTGAGCATTTGTGAGAGAGAAGAAGCCATTATTGGACCTTTATGGGTTTGTTTTGCAAGAAGAAGTTGATTCCAACTTGGAGGAGGCCAAGGAGGTTGCATATTCGTGGATTTCAAGCAGAGGGCATCATCTTTGAGGTAGCATATCGACCCTCTTTCTGTTTTGTTAAAGCATCCATGGATCTAGGGTTTCATATGCCCTTTATTAGGTTGGTTTGTTGAGAATAAGGTCCCTTATCATGTTTAGACTTTAGATATGGACCCATAGTGGTCTAGAGAAGGTTATCCATCTTGCTTTGTGTTGGGTTATGGAAGAAATGAACTTAGAGTGTTGTATTTGGGACTAAATCATCAAGTATTGTCATTTGGATGTTGCATGTGTATCAAGTTCGAACCTTTACGTGTTTATTGAGCTTAGGGAGGTTAGATCTATGGATTAGAGGAGCAGATCTGACCTCATAAGGTCATTTGAGTTTGAGCATGGCTTGAACTCGCCGAGTCCAAGAATAGACTCGGCGAGTAGAATGGGTTTTCCCCATAAATCGCACAGATGGTAACTCGCTGAGTTGGGAAAGTGACTAAGTGAGTCATTTGGGATTTTGAGGACGTGAGTTCATGACTGAACTCGTCGAGTCACAATAGTGCACTCGGCGAGTTTGGTCAAAGGGTTAACCTTTGACTTTTGTTGACTTTTAGGGTTTGGTCAACTTTAGAGTATTTGAGCCTTAAGAGGGGTAAAATGGTCTTTTACCCTCCTGAGAGTGCTAAGAGAGGGAATGGTCTAGCCTTGGGAAATGTGTTGATGCCGAGTGTTTATTTTCGTATGATTAGGCGGAGGCTAGATCCTATTTCACATAGTCCGAGATTTCCGAGTTACCGAGTTACACGAGGTGAGTCTTTACACTATACGTTACCTAGACTGGTATTATGAGTTGACCGGAAGGTCTTATGTGCTACGTATGAGATTGTGTGTCATGTATGAGATTATGTGCTATGTGATGTATGTATGATATATAATTGTATAGACCGGATCGGAAGGCCCAACGAGCTATAACCGGACCAGGGGGTCCAACGAGCTACGTGACCGGAAGGTCCCGCTGAGACACATCGACCGGAGGGTCGTACAATAGCCTTGAGTGGTGTATGTGTTGTATATGGTATTTTGGGGGACTCACTAAGCATTTATGCTTACAGTTGTTATGTTATGCATTTCAAGTACTTGCGAAGACCGTGGAAAGGCGTCGGCGTGACCCGTACACACAGAGAAGAGATTTGATTTTGTGATCTTGGGATATGTTATGATTTGATAACCATTGTTGAATACTTTTGAGAATGTTTTTATATAAATTTGGTTGTTGAAAATTGAAAATTTTGTTTTGAAAATCTCGTCGTTACAGAGGTAAGACAAGGACCAAACGCACAACAAAAATAAACAGTAGCAATCATCCAAGTTAAAAAATAAGTCAGGAACCAAACACACAAATTACCCAAACTACATGGACCATTCGTGTAATTTATTCTTACATTTTCGGTTTGCTCACATCTGGGTAACTATCTTTTTTTATACAAATCTATATAACGAAAATTTTGAAAGTGTTTATATAACATGTTACAGTCGGTCATAATAATCATATGTGAACACTTAAAAAAATTCGTTACCTAGATGTTTATAAAAAAAAGACAATTATCCAGATCTAAATAAATCGAAAAGTTAATTAAAGCTCATTTCGCTATTATTTACATTCCAAATTTATTGACAAAACTAGAAACCGAACATAATCCTTCCAAAAAAAAATGCGAGATCGTTAGTCAAATTCTAATTCTTTCGAATTTTTATTACTTTTACAAATTTCAAATAATGCCAAAAAGGTCTCCTAACCAAAACACCCCTTTCATAATTATTGGTTAAAGTTAACAATTTCTTAATTAATATGTAACTTTCAAAAGAATATGTTGAATGTTTGCTCCGGTAGATTTCAACTTTTCAATGTTTTCTTAATCAATAAAAAATCATTAAGTTTTTAGGAAATTTCGATTCTAATATCATGTTAGTTTTCTTCTTAAATTGAAACTTTGTTTTTTCAAAATTTCTTTTAATTCTGCAAACAATATGGTTCACAAGTTAATTTGTTAGAAATTGAAAAAAAAAATATATTCAATTTAAGATTAAAAAAAATAATATAAAGTCAAAGTCAAATTTTTATATAAATTTAATGTCTTCTATAAAATCTAAACTATGTATATATGGTTCACAAGTTAATTTGTTAGAAATTGAAATATATATATATATATATATATATATATATATATATATATATATATATATATATATATATATATATATATATATATATATATTCAATTTAAGATAAAAAAAATAATATAAAGTCAAAGTCAAATTTTTATATAAATTTAATGTCTTCTATAAAATCTAAACTATGTATATATTTCTTTTAATTCTGCAAACAATATGGTTCACAAGTTAATTTGTTAGAAATTGAAAAAAAAAAATATTCAATTTAAGATAAAAAAATATATATAAAGTCAAAGTCAAATTTGTATATAAATTTAATGTGTTCTATAAAATCTAAACTATGTATATATTCTTATTAATGACTATTCGATTAGTGTTACCACAATTGACCATGACTAGAGGGAACATTCCATTTTCCCTTTTGGTTGGTATTGGAAACTTGGTAGTTTCCACTTTCCAAATACAGTGGTTTATTGGGCAAGATTCTAAATTGGTGGCAGTTGGTGGGAAGTGGGCTGATGCTGTTGGAATCAATTGTTTAAGCTGACCCCAATATTCAAATCCATTGAACTTCAAATTGGAAAAATTTATCTTAGATTTCGCTTTCCATCTTTCAAATCTTCCGTTTTTCCCCAATCAGCTTCGATTCATCCAAAACCCACATACGAATTCCATGTTTCCATGAATTTCTGTCAACTTTCATCGAATTTGGACATGGGTTTTACTCATAAAACCCTAAAAAATCTCCACCTTATCTCTTTCATAGTTCTTCTACACTTTGTCCCGGTGTTTCCACAAGGAAACAACAGTAGAATCGATCAAGGTCAGCTGCTTAGAGATGGGCAAACCGTTGTTTCCCCTAGTCGGGTTTTCGAGCTCGGATTCTTCAGCCCTGTGAATTCAAGATTAAAATACGTCGGAATTTGGTATTACGGATTTCAGAACCGAACAGTCGCATGGGTAGCGAACAGAGACGATCCAATCACCGGCGATTCTGGTGTTTTCAGCATCGGAAATAATGGAAGCTTGATTGTTTCCGATGGAAATGATAGAGTTTATTGGTCAAGCAATAGTCCTTCAGCAGGAGGTAATTTAACAGCGATTCTTATGGACAATGGAAACCTGATGCTTTCAACTGTGCAAAACGTCGGTGTTGATACAGAAGCTATTTGGCGGAGTTGTGATCATCCAACTGACACTTACTTGCCGAATCAGAGAGTTTATTCGAATATCACAGCGGAAGATAGTCGCCGATTTGTTTCATGGAGGTCTCCTAATGATCCTTCAAAGGGGAATTACTCCATGGGAATTGATCCTCGAGGTTCGCCCCAGGTGGTGGTTTGGGAAGAGCAATCACGCCGGCGGCTATGGAGATCCGGTCACTGGAATAATCAAATATTCATCGGAATCCCACAGATGAGATCGTTATTCCTTTATGGTTTCAACTTAGTAACTACTGCAAACACTGACATCATATATTTCGTCTTCAATAATCAAAACACTACACTTCTGATGCGATTCATGATCCAATGGAATGGAGTTGTTCAACAATTGACATGGAATAATCAAAGATGGGAGGTCAATTTATCTCTGCCTACTTCCGATTGCCAATATTATAACCGATGTGGGAATTTTGGTATCTGTCAATCCTCTCTAAATTCTCGATCTTTATGTAGCTGTATGGAAGGATTCGATCGAAATTCCACTGGTGTCTGTGTTCGAAGAACTCTACTCAACTGCAGTTCCAATGGTTCCACTGATGGGTTTTTCCCTCGAACTGGTGTTAAACTGCCGGATTTTGCCGACCTGTTGGCAGACGTGGGTAATAGCGGTGATTGTGTAGAAGAATGCTTGAGAAACTGTTCGTGTAGTGCTTATGCATACGTATCCGGGATCGGATGTTTGATTTGGGGAGATAATTTGGTTGATGTTGAACAATTTGCAGAAGGTGGTGAAACCCTTTTCATTCGTCTTGCAGATGCTGATTTAGGTATGTTTTATATTTCTCACAATCCCTGTCATGATTCGAGTGTCGTCTCTTAGTTGACAGTTTTATTTGGTTTTCAGAAAGTCGGAAGAAAGCATCTAAAACTCTCGTCATTGCATTGTCGGTGACTGGAGCAGTTGTTCTTGCCGTTATTCTATTATTGTTATGGAGATTCCGGCGAAACCTTAAAGGTGAATTATTCTCGATAATTATATATTTTGTATAATACTTATTTAACGATACTTTATTGAAAAAATTATATAATTTTTGTATAAACTTTTAAATTTCATGTTAATAGAGGGTCGAAATCTATGTGGAAAATCAAAGAAACAAACATCAGTTTCGGAGGTGACACATGGTGTACAAAATCACGTTGAGAATTCAGGACAACAAGATGATGAAGGGAAACCGTATGAAGGACCCTCGTTGCCTTTATACAGTTCTAGTGTCTTAGAAGCCGCTACTGATGGCTTTGCAAACAAGAACAAACTCGGTCAAGGTGGTTTCGGCCCCGTTCACAAGGTTTATTTCTCATTTAAAACAAATACCGATTTTGCCCTTCGTTGGACTTGGACCGATGCAAATTGGACATAAAATTTGCAATCTTCTGTTCCCACCGAAGCACGCTCTTGTTCGCCTGTTTGTGTAAAAGACGTAAATGCCCTCCTCATCCTCATCATGAGAATAGCCCTAGAAAGCTTCACCAGTCCAATTCTATATAGTCCTGTGTAGACATGGGATGGACAACCTTTGTTGGGCTATTTTTGATGACGAGGATGAGGAGGGCATTTACGTCTTTTACACAGACGAGAGACTAAGAATGGTTTTCCGTTCTATCTTTTTGGGTGGGACAAGAAGTTTCAAATCATGTTTGATTGATGTCGGTGTGTGTCTGATGCATGTCGAACACAGTATAACTGTTTTCAAGAAATTGTCTTTTAATTTTTGTTTTGTTTTAGGGAATTTTGCCGGGAGGACAAGAAATTGCGGTAAAACGGCTTTCAAGATCGTCGGGGCAAGGATTGGTGGAATTCAAGAACGAGATGATTTTGATTGCAAAGTTGCAGCATCGAAATCTTGTTAGATTGTTGGGGTATTGCATTGAAGGGGAAGAAAGAATGTTATTATACGAATACATGCCTAATAAAAGCCTCGATACGTTTCTATTCGGTAAGTTTCTTTAGGTATTTTAGGTAAGGTTAAATGCATGAAATAGGAATGTATGTAGTTTCATTGATTTGTTTATTATAGAATTCTACGTTGAATTCTTTATATTATTAAAGCATTGTGGTTTGAAAATCTACCCAATTATAGCAACTTCATCAAAGCAATTTTCAACGCTATAATTAGGTTGACTTTTCAATGTATTTGTGCAAATAAGAAAAAAAATTGAAGTGACAATATGCTATAATCGAGTAGATTTTACTAAGTCAAATTTGTTACTAAAAAGTAATTGAAATTACAATGTTGTAATAGAGCTAAGGATAGTGGATTGATATAGTAATCAAATAAATAAAACTACATTTCTATATCTAGCTTTTGCTCTTCTTTTATATAATTGTTTCCATGAAACATTCTGAATCTTTCTAAATTAGGAATGGTTGCATATAACATATACACAACATAAAAAGTGGATAGTTATAACAATGTAATTAAAATACAAAACAATTTTCACTAAAAGTACAATGCCTTAATAAGTAATAAAATGAAAGTACAACGCCTTAATAGCACGAAATAAAAGTATGATGGTATAACAAATTAATAATCAAATAAATGATAGTAAATTGCTATTTCATGTATTTTCCCTTTTATATAAATGCTTTGAATAAAGATTCTGAAACTTTGTATTTTGGGAATGTTTTTATGTAACGAAAGACCCGATAAAAAAAGCGGAATTAAGTTGGAAAATTCGATTCAACATCATCGAAGGGATTGCAAGAGGTTTGTTGTATCTTCATCGGGATTCTAGGCTTCGAATAATTCATCGTGATTTAAAAGTCGGCAATATTTTGCTTGATGAAGAAATGACTCCCAAGATTTCTGATTTTGGAATGGCAAGAATCTTTGGAGGGAACCAAAACGAAGCCAACACCAATCGAGTTGTTGGAACTTAGTAAGTTTTTATTATTTATTATTTTTTACTTTTTTAAAGTTTTAACAATTGTTTTGTTTCTCTGGTCGACGAGTTTCAGTTCCAATGTGGATTGAACTCCTTGTCATAAAACCAAAATTGTGTAATGTTAACACCAATTTTTTTCCACTCTAACCATTTTTAAAACATCACATAAAAAAATTATTTTGGATATTTTGATAATGAAAACAACTTATATTCTTATTCTTATCAATATTATACTATTATATTACCACATAAGTGTAATACTTTTCCAATAAGACTAGTCTCTCGAATGCTAGGTTTCTTGTAATCATCCGATTCTATAATTCAATAATTCATGGGAGCATAACAGTATACAATTAAATTAATCACTCACATTAGTTTAAAATTTCCGAAACACGAGCTAAATTATTAAGAAAATGGTTTTAACGGTTTTTAATTTCTTGAGGCGAAGTTGTTACTATGGGATTTAATTAGATTTTTTATACAATTTTGCAGTGGTTATATGTCTCCTGAGTATGCAATGGAAGGTTTGTTTTCGGTGAAATCTGATGTTTATAGCTTCGGTGTTTTGCTTCTAGAAATCATTAGTGGCCATCGAAATAACGCTTTCCGTTCTAATGATTCCACAAATCTAATCCGACATGTAAGTCACATCAACATGCTCTCTTTATTTATTTATTATACAATCGTATTTACATTTCTTTCTATTGCAAATTCTACTCCTAAATTTTCTTCCTTATTAAGACATTCTACATTCAAAAATATACCCAATTATAGCATTTTAATTTCACATTTTTTTTTCTTATTATATATATATATATATATATATATATATATATATATATATATATATATATATATATATATATATATATATATATATATAGTTAGGTTTCAAATGAGATGGACCATTCTTGTGAAACCGAAGGATACATATCTAGACACACTTCAAGGGCCAAATTATAAAGGAAAAATATATATATATATATATATATATATATATATATATATATATATATATATATATATATATATATATATATTCTTAAGGCATTAACTTTCGTCATTTTGACATCTAAAAAATATTAAAAATAATAATCACCATTCTAGTTGAATATTCCAACAAGAATAATATTCGTAAGGATTAACGACCTATGAGGGTAACGAATTTTGGTTTTTGTCCACATTTAGATAAGCATGTTTTTTTCGTACATGTTTGACCAGTAAAGTAAAGTTGTTTGACCTATTCAATATGTTAATTATTGGGTAATATCACGGGTAATTACCACTAATATTACACTATTTTGAACAGGTCAAACAAGTTTATTGGTCAAACGTATACGAAAAAAACATGGTTACCTAAATGTGGACAAAAGTCAAAATTCGATACCCTCTTAGGTCATTAATCCTATACATAATGAATACTATCTTTAATATATATTCTTACATTACATGAATATTGTTAAGATTTTGAAACTTTGCACGTACTTATATTCTAGTAAAAGTATTAGAAATATACTTTTCTTTTATAATATTCTTGTTAAAATATATTACTATAACCGTGATTTTTTTATTTATTATTTATTTTTTCTTTTAAGATGTAAAAAGTGAGGAAAATTAATACCTAATATTTTTATTCTTTTATTTTTATGTTTTAGCCCCTGGAACATGTGGATGTGGTTAGAAAATTGTTCCTTTGGTCTCACAAGAATTGATGGTCTCGTTTAAACCTTTACTTAAAATTATATCCAATTATAGGGTGAATATTATTTTTTATTCGGATGATATTGCTATAATTTGGTTAATTTTATAAAGCCTAATGTTGCAATAGGAAGAAATAAAATTAGGATGCCATAATAATAATAATAAAAAAAATCAATGAAAGTACATTGCTGTTGTTGTTTTAGGACACTTAGAGTCTTTGTACCTTGGCTTTCAATATATTGGCTATGTTTGTTACATAGGTTAAACAAGCTTTTTAGGGCTATTTTTGATTAGACTGAGGAGGGCATTTTTGTCTTTTGCACAAACGCTGCCTACCCATTACATAGATTTGATTCACATGCACACTAAACACAATACAACTTGTTTTGTCATGTCAAGTCATGTTTATACATTTTGTTGCAAAGTTATGGAGACATTTGTGACATTTTTCAGGCATGGAAGCTATGGAAAGAAGGAAAAGCCGATGAACTAATCGATCCCACAATTCTAGATTCATGTAACAAAACAGAAGCATTACAATGCATCCACGTGGCAATGTTATGCGTGCAATCATCAGCTGTGCAAAGGCCCACCATGTCATCGGTGGTCTTCATGTTAGAAGGTGAAAACACAAGCCTTCCACAACCAACAGAAGTCGATATCACATCATTAAGTTCAGTAGAAATGGATTTGATAATGGAAGGCCGAGAAATCAATATTTCATCCAATGACGTTACCATTACGGAAGTTTCTGGAAGGTAATGTTCCCAAGTGAAAAGGTGAAATGTGTTAAGGTTTTGTGTTTGTGTTTGTTAAGGAACCGATGTGTCAGAAAACTAGATTTCTGATGTTTTTTTTTTGTCGGTTGGTGTTTTTCTTAAAGGCCATGAGTGGTGGTGGCTGTAGCGGAATTGAATATGAGACCTCATGCCATGGATAGTTTGTTGTATAGAATTTGGCAACGTGTAAATTTATGATAATGTTTTTGAGATGACGCGATATAATTGTTTTGTAAATCAGAAATTAGAAGAGTAGGAAATATATTGGATGTTATGTGTATTTGCCTATTTGGGCGTATGTTTCATTTAGCAAGTATAAATATAGTTTGAAATTGTTGGAAATAATAAAGTAGTTTCCTTCGTTATTGATATTTGTGATATGCTTTATTTACTTGTCCACAATAGCTAACACTTACAATTGTTATTGAAATATCATATCAACGTGGTTAGTTGCTTTCCACCTATAAAAGCAATATGGGACTTGAAACTTTTGTGATTTTTTTTTTATCTAACATAGTAAAGTATTTTTATTGTTAAATATGTTACAAAATTTGCCCTAGTAGGTTTTCTGTACGCACACACTACAACAGACCCCGTTGTAAACTGGGCCAATACGCAGATAATTCGATACATACTCGGCCCATTAAAAAGTAAAGACTAACAAATAAGAATACAACAATGGGCTAATAATCTGTTATATACTAGTATATTATATATTTGATTCAAAGTGGTTGCTCAAAATTTTCTTTCCTTGTCCAACTTCTTTTAACCGTATGATCCCTAGAGCATTGTCATTTGTTACGGAGAAGTCCCTCTGTCTCCTATCATCTATTTTCAAGAAGGGTATTCATGGGTTCAAATCTAATGGATTTTGATGGAATTGATCTAATCTAATTATGGTTTAGATTTTGGATTTTGTGAACCAATCTAATCCAATTTAGTGTAAAAAACCAAACCGAACTGTCCAATTGGAATTTGATTGGATCATTTTTTTTTCATTGGATGTTTTTGATTTGTTTAATCCATTTGTTATCCAACATCCAACCAATTTTACTCCATTGCTATTGAATAACCAAATAAAACTATAATAAATAAAAATAAAATTGTACATAATTACACTAAATAAGACTAACAATGTAACATTAACTTCAAGTTTTCAACTTGATTTTTTATTGAATATTTAATAATAGTAATCAATTTTGGATAATAATATTGGATATTTATTGAATTAAATTGAATATTCAATTGAATCGGATCAACTCCGTTATCCATTAGATTTTTTGGATCCAATAGCTAATCCAATCCAATTGGATTTTGAAATTTCTAATCCAATCCAATTTTAATCGGATATCTAATAAAATTGGTTGGTTTGTAATTTGATTGTTAATTTTTGCACACCCTTATTTTCAACCGTTATGGCACAACATGTACCTCACATACTAGAGTAAATTGGTCATTCTGTTAACATCTCTCCATTATCGTCTCTCTTGATATCAAAATATATCTGACCACGTTATGTTACTTCATTATCCCCAAGTTTCAAAGTATTCATTTTTTTTCTCTCAAGTCTCAAAATCATAAATGGTTACATTCACTCTCTAATTATTTTTCTTTAAAAGTCGCTTTAAAAAATAAAATAGTACATGTCACTCTTTTATCTTTTCATTCTCTCTAAGACTGTAAATGTTTTTTTTTTCAGAAAAAAGTTAACTCAGTTAGTCAATTTGCATCAAATCAATTTGGGTTTATACTCTCGAATAACTGGCACACTCAAAGTTTTCATTATTGGCTCATGTCATTATCATTAATGCACCAAACATATCTCTTATAGGATAATTTTTTTAATTAAAATATAACTCCTAAGAATACATATCTAAATCCATCGGAGTCATACCCATCATCTTCATCAAGCGAAGAACTCTTCCAAAAGTCAATACTGATCAAAAACCTCTAGAAGAACCTGTTGAATCATCCTCAGCATTTACTAATCCATCTTCAAAGGAACACAATTCCACTACCATACCCTCCGCGTTGGAAATTTCAAGATTCTTCAAGCCAAGCTTGTTTGATCCTTCAATAACTTCACAAGACTGCTTCCTTTGAAAAAAAAGTTCATTTATCTAGAAGAACTTGAAGCAACTCCTCGAAAGGTCTCTTCAAAAGCAATTGAAGTTGAAAAAGTCAGGCTCCAAAAGTTCCAATATCTTGAAACATATGTGTCTAAGTTTGATAGAAGCTTATTTATGGATAGCTAATCCCTAAAGCATACAGATATGAGAGACATTGATAATAACACAAATTGAAACTAAATTTTATGCTCTTTTACTTCAAACGTGAACTTACAGTTTAAAGAGGCAATGATCACCTATTGCTAAGCTAGAATTAAGGAACATGCATGTATAATAAAAGTGGGAAATGCAACAGCTCTTTGACTAACTGAAAAAAACGTGGCTACTGGGTCATGCCATGGAGGTGGTCTTGAATAGCATCTTAGACACGTATCAAAGTCCATCACATAAATTTCTAAAGACCTTTCTGATCACAAGAAATGTCTAAGAAGCTCTTGGAGAGATTTCTACTCAACATGGTAATGAAATTGTAAACTCCGTCGGGATCTGCACCATTATTAGGTCAATAGTCTCGTAATGATCAATGTTTGCACCAAACTTACAGAAAATTACCAGAAGATGACAAACTGGACAAAAGAAGAAACTATGTTGAAGATGGGCTAATACATCAAGAAGATAACTGATTTTCTAGATACCGACACCATTGACATAGGAGCAAATGCTTTGTCCAAAACAATGGCCGCTTCTTATGGTAATGTTTTTATAAAGATAGACGATCTTAAGCAAGAGTGTGTGGATAAGGTTGGGCCTTCATTCACAAAAAGGGGGGATAAGAAGAAGATGCTTAGTTACAAAAGTATAAAGACGACCAGAAGAAAATTCCCAAAGATGTTGAAGTTGAGCGAATCTCTTCTAACGATGATCATGATGTTGAAAAATCTCATCCTTCTCCTAATAAGTCTCCTCCTCGTGATCTGGGGAAGAAAATCATCAATGAAGAAGAAGAACCTAAATTTTCCTCGCCGATTATCTCCTCTAATGAGGAATCTGAAGAAACAAAAAGGAGAATAGCCTCTAAGAGAACACAGTGATTGTTTGGCTGCCATTCTTCCCATTCAACGACTTAATCATGCTCCTCCTAGTTCTCCAGAAGATGAAGCATCACTGTACAATGAAATCATTCAAGAAGACTATATTTTCCTTCTTTGGGTCAACATCATCAAAGATCGGAAGATCGGGACATTGTTCCCCATTGTACTTATGATGTACCATTAAACTCTGAGTATGAATGGGATATCTTGAATTCTCCACACTCAATATTTCCTTTTGATCTAATGGAATCATCCAAGCCTCCTAATGAAGGTAAATATGATGAGCGAACAAAGACAAAGTGATTTATTTTCCAAACATCCACATAAAATTTATGGATGGTCCAACCAAAAAATTATTATTGTCAAAGCATTTAAGTATCGCTCCTTCAAGAATTTACCCTACTATGCATTCGACCTTATCAGATGTGATGAACATGAAAACTATCTCATATAAGCTGATTATCCCATTACAAATCCCACCAATCTTCTATATATTGTAAATGAGTTAAAGAGGAGAATACCTTCAAAAGATTTGGCCAAGTCTACCCTCATTCTAATCAGAACATTCCTCTAAAGCTCATTCTGGACATCTCATCAATTGATTATGAGATGAGTTGTGACAGTCATTATTTGACTCGAGCATCTTGCATAAATCATATACACCCATCATACATTTGACCTAGTAATAAAACTTCCATCATACATTTGACCTAGTAATAAAACTTTTTTTATAACTTATAGAAACTTTAAGTTAAGGTTGAAATTAGGACTATTATACTTGATTCTTCAACTTCACTTGAATCTCGGAATCACTACATTGAAATACCAATAAACCAACAAAAACAAATTTCAATCATTATTTATAACTTGAAAAGAGTTATAAGACTCTAAAATAATTTGAAGTCTCAAAAAATTCAATATATCTTGATATCTAAAGATTTATTAAATCTCAAAACCCTAAAAGCTCTAAAAACCTAAATCTTGTAAATTTAACATCAAAATTTTATAAAATAGTTATGAACTTTATAATGTTATCTAAATAATAAGTAAAATTTGGAAATATAATCATGGAAAATATAATTTAATGGTATCAACATATTTTCTTAATTATTAGTTTAAAAATCAAGAGTTTTATGAATTAAAAACTAGGCAAATATATATTTTATAAAAATTTAGATAACTTATATAACAATAGGATGAAATGATTAAAAGTAATTTAAGAGAGAGAGGGAGCCTCTCTCCTCCCTTATAATTTCGATCTACACCTCACAAGGAAGCCTCTTCCCAAAAAATCTCAATCATTTACTTCTTCTCCATACTCCATATCCTTCCTTCACTCTCTCTCACACTCCACCACTTCCACCACTCAATTCTCTCTTCTTCCTTCCTCTCACCCACAAAAATCATCAACCAAGACCATTTGCTCAACCACAAAAATCAAGTACGTCAGGTATTGTTCAAAGGTAATCACGAAATCTTCCATCCCTTCTTCACTTTTCTTTCATTTCATTAAGATTTGCATGCATATATATTCTTCTCCTACACAATTCTATTATAAATCAGGAACACTTGCACATACTCATGGATTTGATGATGATGGTGGTAGGACTTCACCTAAAAACATCATGTATGTTGCAAATGGTGAAGTCTCATGATATAAACCTATGTCAAAATCAAAGTAACACACTTTTCTATAAGTTTTTGGTGGAAAATCACCAGTTGCACCCTAAATTTTCTTGAAAAAACGAATTTTGAAAATTTCAAACCCATACATGGCTCTTAAACTGACATGCATTCGAGCATTAATGCTAGATGTTCAAAGTTTGTTGTTAAATGCTTCAAATATATATATATATATATATATATATATATATATATATATATATATATATATATATATATATATATGCATAAAAGATTTTAATCCACAAAATATCTAAAACTCCTTATTTATTCATGAAGGGTTTTGAGCATTTTAACACTCCTATGGTGTACATGCAACCCTAGAAACCTTAGATCTACGTTTTATCTATGATACATGCAAATTTGTTTTTCCAAGCTTCATAACCTATCTAGCATATATGGGGAACTTTTAAACATAAAGATAGTAAGAAATACATATTGTTAGTTTATTGAATTCCTTGAGAACCTTGTGAGCCTAGCACCTCAAATGTGATGCCTCAAATGTCTCACACAATACCAAAT